TGCCTTGGGTACCCATCAGATGTTTGCTTTAAATGGATTTACAATCTTTTGAGAGGTTTTAGATTTCGTCTAAAGAGAACCCATCACACAACCTGGAGCTGCTCCTCCACTGTGTCTTAGAAGTAACCCTGTGAGGTTGGCCACATATAGGCAAGAGTGATGCGCAAGGGGTGTCTGCACATTCTAAAACAAGTCACATGACCGCCTGGACCCGCCATGGTCCTCACTCTATGGTGGCAACATTGCCTTCCCATGGAACCTTCATCTTCCTCCCTACAGCAGCCAAACTCCAATCCTCCAGCTGTGGTGGAACTACAAATCCCATGAGGCATTGCAAGATTCTCACAGCCACGACGGCCGGAGAGAGATGCATCATGGGATTTGTAGTTTCACCACAGCTGGAGGGCCAGAGTTTGCCCACCCCTGGTATAATGTATGGCCAGCTTAAGAGGTAGAAGTGAAGAAACCCGCCAACAAGTGAATGCGCCCCCTTCACCAGGCACATGAAATCTCCATGAGATCGGACATGTCACTGCAATACAGACACAAGGTTAGGTCATCCACGGCTTTCACCAAATGTAACTAGAAGTAGTTTGTCACATTCAGCCGGACTTGCTCTGTTGCGTTCACGTTCTGCCTCTCATCCAACAACCTTCCGCAGATTTCATCTTCACTGTAAACCCGGGGCGGGCAAATCTCCAGCCCCGCCATCTATGGTGGACTACAAATCCCATGGGGCATTGCAAGAATCCCATAGCCACGGACATGACTCCCAGAGACAGATGCATCATGGGATTTGTAGTTTCAGCACAGCTGGAGGGCCTAGGTTTTTCCCGTCCCCGTTCTAAACTCAGAACCAAAGAGGAAATCCGAGCGGCAACCTGACAGAAGAGTTCGGCTGAATGTGACCGAGCGCCATAAGCCATACCGTTACCTGGATAGACCTCTACCCTCTGCTCCCACACCCCGAAATTGGGTCACCCTTGTAGAAGATCACTGGCAGGAGCTTGTCCTACGACTGACTGCACAAATCCAAAGGAAAACACCAACCACACACTAGAAACTTTATTCATCCAAACAACATGAACAGAGGGCGCGTCTGGGACCTCCTGTACTGATATGCTTCACCAACAAGGCCGGGCGTCATCATGGAGGCCTCTAGTCTAGGAGCCAGCTGGGAGTATACTTCAAATTTAGCACTGTCCAGATTGATATAGTTTTCAGTGTTTAAAATTTCCTGTAGCTAGTCCTTCCTTTGGACCAATCAGTTTTCACACTGCCCAACACAAGATCAACCCCCGCATCTAACCATGACTTCGCCCCAACTCACGTGATTAGGGGCCAAGCAACCCTCCGACATCCCATAATGACCCCACGGCTACCAGAGTGACTTTGCCACAGAACCAACAAGTCAGGGCAGTGACTGCTTCCAGCAGCACAGAGGATGTATTTTTATATTGCATGGAGTAAAGAAGAGTTAAAACCTGTGTCTCCTTTGGAAGAATTCCCTTCACTTCCTGTCGGGTAGACCCAACAGGAAGTGAGAGGAGATCTATCCAATGTGATCAACATCCCCTCAGACATTGGTCACTGGAACAAGTGTCCCCATTGGAGGGTTTCCTCCTCTCTTCCTGTTCTGGTGG